AATCTATATCGATCTCAGGATCTAGTAATTGGATTTTGATGATTTTAGGCTTGTTAGAATCAGGTCATTGAGAGGATTATTTTGGTAGTTAAATCATCCAAATTGGTTTAGTAGATCAAAAGGTATATGATATTGAAATTTTTTATTAATTAAAATATAAATTTTTTGTGCAATTTGATTGGCTAATAAGGTATCAGGTGTAGGTGGGTGGGTAGCCTATTAAGAGATGGAAATCACCTGATTTACGTCAGGCCCCTTACATATTTTTATGTACTTCTTGCATGTTTTTTGCATATTTTATACAACTATTGCATATTTTATACACCCCTTGCATATTTTATGCACTCCTTGCATATTTTATGCACCCCTTGTATATTTTATGCACCCCTTGCATATTTTATGCACCACTTGCATATTTTATGCACTCCTTGTATATTTTAGCACCCTTTTTATATTTTATGCACCCCTGTATATTTTATGCACCCTTGTATATTTTTATACATATCTTGCATATTTTATGCATAACTATATATAATTATATAAGAGGTGCATAAAATATGCAAGGAGTAAAAACTTTACTCAAAAGTAAACTTGAGTTGATTTCAAAAAATCTTTGCTAAATCAACTCAAGAACCAACTCCAATGAGACTTTTAACAGCCCTATTATTTTCAGATTTAAATTCTTTAATATTCGGTTACAAAATAATTGTACCAACTGCAAGGCATTGAAAAATTTCAAAGTTTATAGTAGGAAGTGAAGCAATAAAAGAAGGAATTAGATAAGGAGGTAATAGAAAAGATTTAATAAAATTTTCTACTATTTTTCCTCTAATAAAAGGTGGAAGAATATATGCGAAGAAATGAAATGGGAGATGGTCATACACTATACCATTTACGAAACATGGTAATATCCATGGAAGATTTCCTATAAATATATAAATATATATATATTATAATATGAGATCTAAAAGTAAATATAAAAATATATAATTTACCTCTACGAATACTTAAATAAACTTGTAATGCGGCATGAGTTAACTCAACCGCGATGCCCATTGCACTAATTAATTATTTAATAAGGTTTTTATATGAATCATAATATTATACCCTATGAGAAAAGTAGTCCGGGTTGTGGCTCGGGTTGGTTTTAGGAATGCACAAAATGGTACGGATGTGTGGCACGTAGAGGCTCATTTTACATGATGGTACAGCTAAAAATGGCACAGATATTACAGAAAAGTGGTCGTATTGAATGATACGTATATGCACATGTCTCAAGAGCGAAGGGTCAGTAAGTGTTTTTTTATGAAAAAAAAATGCAATATCTCAAAATTTCACTGATTAAATTGTTCTGGGTATCTTAATGAAAAATATTCCTTGCAGAATTTTGCACATATACAATTACTTTAATTTTCAAATACATATTATATTAATGATAATTAAAGTAAATTATGTTTTTATAGTAGTACGTGACTTTATGTACGTCCGTACCAAACCCGTACCAATTGGACTAGTAAAGTGTTACAAAACCCAAGTCATTAACGGTCCAATTGGCACTGGTATACGAACCTACACGAGCCAAAAATCTGTGCCACTTCGAGCCTCTTATATACAAAATCCAGGTTTGATCTGTGCCACAGAAACCCGTGTTATTCCGAGCCAACCCATACAATTACAGTATATTTTTCTTATAGGGATATAACTTACATCATATTCATACCTATTACTGCAACCAACAACCAAAAAATGTTTATCTTCAAAACCAGTAGCTCTAAAAGAAATTATATTAGTAATAATGATATTGATGCATACCAGATATATAGATAGATAAGTTACGAATAAACTCACCGTTTATACTTATAAGAATGTATTTGTTCACCTTTAAATAAACTCATTCCCTTAAATTCAGGCCATTTAGATTTGCGATGTTTTCTAGCACAAACCATCACGAAATCAAAATTTTCTTCTTTTTCTTCTTTTTCATATTGAAAACTATATTTAATTTTCAACATTTATCAGGAAGATTTGATATCTTTAATAAAGTATTGTTAAATTTAATATGGGGTAACAGATTGAAATTTTTAGCGTATATATCAATGTTTCTAAGATAATTATAAAAATTGGCAATTAAAAATAATAATATAAATTTATTGAAAAGGACTAACCTTTCTACTAGAAAACGTTTTAGATAAGTTGGCCAGTCTACTTGAATTGGAAATACATCGTCTATTTTTCAGATTACTGTACTGTAAATTCAACTTGACATATCTAAAAATATTAAATCAATACAAACCATTTCTTTAGATGTATTGGTTATAACACTTTTATAAATTGAAGAATAAACATCGTTGTTTTTTTTCACAAACATCTTCATATTTCCTTATTCTACCGATAAAAAAAGTTTGTTCAAACCAAATTGAAATCAAATCATTATCTAAACATAGTTTTATTGCTGTTAAGCCCAACCCGAGATCCCTGATATAAATATTTATATATTAAATTTCTTATTTCAAGAATATCAAAATTTCTTTAAATTTTGTAAAATATCTTGTTTATTTGCATCTATAATCGCAATATGTTTAGCTATACTGATACTTTTTTTTACATTTGCATCCCAAAAATCCTTATCCATTTTAATCTTTATGGGAATTAATTATTAAAGAAATTGATCATTTTCAGGAAGGTTTTTAATCAGCAGCCACATTACGTATAGGTATAATAGCAGATAGTTTGGTGATTTATTACGTAGTAACAGCCAAACATGTTCTCCCAAGGTTTTTATTCAGCCAATAAATGGACAAGATCAGGCATCAAAACCATCTGTGTGCGTACGTACTGTATGTATAGTACACAAAATTCGAAATTAATCCCATCACTAACTACAATCAAGATGACAAGCAAATTAAGTGGACAAATAGCTACATTTCAAGCAGCCGCGGACATGTGTATTCTAAGAAGCAAATTAAGTTTAACAAGGGTGAAAAATTGTATAAATAATATTGTCAAAAAGTCTAATAAAGACAACACCTCCCTTACCATTATTTTGATTATATAGTTGCTCAGTAAAGTTCGATCAATATATTGAGTACGATAATATGATAAATATAAAAATTCTTTTCAAGTAACATGAGTTGATTTCAGGTACCCGATCTGGTTATTGTTAATTCAGTTACATTAAAAGACTATATTATCCTTTTAAATTTCAATTCAGTATCGTTAGATATATGTTCTATTAATATTTACTACATTTGCTTGCAGTTTAAAAATTGTAGCCTTTGAATTTAACGAAAATTATTATAATGAGTAGTATCTACTTTAAATATTAGTTTATAATCTTTAATAGTAAAATTTGGGCAGTGCTTGTTAGTTTTAAATTATTAAAATAGAATTTATATTACTGTAGAATTTTATATAATTTATCTATCAATCAAACAATCAATATGTAAAGTTAACGATCAATTAAATTACTATTTAATTAATTTTTTTAAGTAAATTTAATATTATCTTTCATTCGTCCTTTAATTCATATAATAATAGAAGATACAAGTAACATAAGTGAAGATAATTTTACTGATACTTCTGAAACTAATTATAAGAATAATTATAAAAGTAATTATGAAAGTAATTATGAAAGTAATTATGAAAGCAACTATGAAAATAATTATAAAAGTAATTATAAAAGTAATTATGAAGGTTAGGGTCCCATAGCCTAGTGGTCTAGGCACCTAACCCTCCACAGACGAGATCAATGGTTCGATTATAGCTGGTGGTAATTAATTTAATTAATTATCTCTATAACCTACAGGAGCTTTTGAATATGAAACCCTGTAACGATAAGACCATATGAAGTACATATTTTGCCTATAAAGAATTCTTGAAAGAAGTCCCGAGCCATAGAGAAGACTGGGTACTATGTGTGACATGGTATCACAGAAAGTAATACCACATAAGGCTGTGCATATAAATCCTCGATTGGCTAGGTAGCACCAACAACTCTAAGGCGGTCTTGAGGATTTTGATTGGAAGGACGGCTACATGCAGTATATCTGGAAGTGGTGAGAGAAGCGGTGAATACAGTAAGGAGCTATGGTAAGAGGATAGCTTTACTAAATTAAGGAACACCTCTGGCATACAAGATTGGAAATTGGAAAACTAATAAGGAAACACTATATATCACAACGTCGATAATAGGTGCCATATTGATATGCTATAAGTCAAGATTCCAGGCCTCCTTGCATTACCAAGCTGGAAATAAAATGATTGTCAGTAGTACACCCATATAGTATAGTTATATTTGGAAGCTTCAGCACTCATGCTACAGTCAATCATACCAACTATGGGAGCATTGTATAAAGTAAATGGTACACTGCAAATAACAACTGGAAATTTGATAAATCTAGCCATGCTATATAGTACCAATACATGGAGGGCTATGTATACCAATATGGAAGCAAGAAGAGCAAAAAACTGCTAGAATGAACCAATTTGGAAGAATTATAAGATTGTTGCAGAAAGTAGATAGGAGAGTGTAATAGTATGAAAATAGATAACAATAGAAAATTTTGTAATATAGTATGTAATTGAGAACTAATTAGAAAGGTTGAAATTGAGATATGGATTGTGTTACGGCTGCACCCCAAAAGGTGGCGTGAGATATGAACACAATGGCAGCAGTCAATATATACTAATTGGAAGAAAAGTATATAAAATAATTACATAGTAGGATATGTAATGGTAGGTTGCTCCAACTGATTCTAGCTTGAAGTTGGCTTGAAATAGTTAATTGAAAAGTAATATAGAAAAATAAAGAGTATAATGCCACATTGGGTGACTAGTAATAGTAGCACAAATATAATTAGAAACTGTAACAATTATTCTGTAAAAAGGTGTATATTATAACTAATAAAGTTTCTACATTGGCAATAAAAAAAAAAAAAAAAAAAGTAATTATGAAAGCGAGGAAAGAGAAATTCCATTTATTGACTTGGATAACCCAGTTTCATATTCATCTTTTGATGATTATGAAGTTATTAGTACTCAATTGGTAAATTTATTTTATTATTTTTTTAAAATTTATAATAAAGTGTAATTAATAATATTGTTTATTAAGAGCAAACTAGCAAATCAGAATGAAGATAATTCAGAATTGGTTAATTTAATTACTGAAAATTTGAGAGTTGGAGAAATACGATATTCAGCTTTACCAATAGAGTATCCACCTACCTTAGAAGAAGGAATCACAATGGTATATAATATTGAAGCTTGAAATTCATATAATTATATTTTTGATAATATAATTTTTTAAGTTTAAAAATATTAAGTTTAAATTTTTTATATTACATACTAATAAAGTTTTTATTTAAGATGCAATATCAATGAGGACGTCCTAGTGGAGGTGGTAATACAAAAGTTTGGTGTACTTTTTTAGATTGTTATATACACAAATATCATTCTATATGTCAAGGTATAAAGTAATGCAAGTTTGCAAGTGATAATATTCAAAATGCTTCACATTGTGAAGTTGATATGGATGCTGATTTTATGCAAGAAGAAAATAGAAATTTAACAAATCAAAATTCAATTGAAATACAAACATATATGTAAGTATATATTATAATTGTTATTATTATTATTAAATTAAATAATATATATGTATTTATTAATTATATTTTAGTAAATATCTTACAACGGTTGAATTAAAATGTCCTTTTAATAACTATGAATGTGAAGAAAAAAAGGTTGTACAAAAAAGCAACAAACATAACAACCAAGCAACTGAAATTTGGTTTATTGAATGTAGCCGATGGTTTAATAAAAATGGTAGTGAAAAATACTTTTTCCAAAGATTAAATAATAATATTAATATAAATTTATTAAGACGATTATTTAATGGTAAAACTGTACAGTTAACTTTTTCTTATCCGAATAGCCTGTTCTTGGGTTTTTAGTTCAGTTCTCAAAGAGGTATTATAAGCCTATCTGAACTTTATAATAAAATTTATAAATGTCTTAGAGTTTTTGGTTCGGTTAAGAGAGAGTTTGGTTTAGAGAGGTTCGGTTAAGAGAGAGTTGACTGTATGTATAATTTTTTATTAAAAATTTTTAAATATACGTTTTTTTTTAAAATAAAATTTTATTTAATATCAGTTTGAGCCACAAAGTGAATTAGCAACTTGTTCATTAATTTTACTATCTAATTCAAGAAGAAAATCATGTGGTAAATATTTTTAGTATAAATAATTATTATTTAAATATAATTATTTTATAATAATTACTATTTATTAATTTAGGATTTTTACATCAATATTTCGATAATACTATTAAAGAAAGAACATTAATTAAACATCAATGTGATATAAAATATTTTAAAATTGTACTATATGATACTAAGGATTGCCCATATTTAATTCTTATTAGCAAAGGAATTCATAAACATTTGCCACCACCACCTAGTCAAATTCTACTTGAAATTGTAAATAAATTAAAGTCTATAATAGAAGAAGCATCTGAAAAAATAGTAAATATTTCTTCACAGAAACTTATTTCAAGTAAGTAATATTAATAATTAAATTTATTACAATATTTATAGTATATAAATTAAATATTTTATATATTTTGTTAATATTAGGTAATCTTATTAAAGCAACATTTGGAGTTAATTATTTACTTCAAGTTCATGCATCATTTAACAATATTGACAAACTAAGAAGACTTATTGCTAAAGTTCAAAAAAGCCATCATCTATTGGGTCAAGGAATTCTTGGACTAACATATAATATTTGAAAAAAAATGCAAATTATTTAAATTATGTACAACAATCTGGTATAAAAAATTTATTATTATATTTTTATTATATAATAAAATTTTTTAACTAAATTATATTTTTTAGTGGTTTTTTCAAATGGTCAATTAATGATTATTTGTATATCTGAATTACAAGCCAAAGCATGGATTGATTTAGAATATTTTGAAATTGATTTGTTATATAAGAGAGTCTGTGGAGATATTAATGAGTTTGAGGTTAATTGCTATAATGAGCAATATAATCTTAGTAAGTTTTTAATTTTTTTAAATTTAATTTTTTAAATTATTATTAATTATATTAATATATTTTAATAGCATTAACTTATGCACGGGCTTTTACTAATATTGCTGATAGTGAAGCTTATTACAGAATGTTTAATTCTCTTTTTGACTGGGTTTTAAAATTAATTGAAAAATCTCCACAGTTTTATCATATTCATAATACAAGTTGGAAATGTATTATTAGAGATTTGGATTCTGCTCAGGCAAAAGGTTTAGGTGAAGCCTTGCATAATATTGATAACCTTTTATCTTGGAATGAGCATCTTTGCTATATTTTTAAAAGCTGCTGTATTCATTATTATAGGTATAATATATATATTAAATAAATTCAAATTAATTTATTCTATATATAAATATATTAATTTTAATTTTAATTTATTAATTTAAATAAAAATATTTGAAATAATAATTTTTCTAATGAAAGTAAAACACTTATGTATAAATTACCTGAAGCCAATACTCATGAGCGTGTTGATGAAATATTTGAAATATTAAGATTATTTGATGAACCAAAAATTAATGATAAATAAAAATTTATATAAAATAAAAATTTATATTAAATATTTTATATTGTACCAATATTATTTATTATTTTAGATTAGATTTCATTTTATAATATTTTATGGATTAAAGCTTCATTAAATTATTTATTTTCATTTATGAATACTGATATTTAGTTCAAAGCACCAGATAATACTAATGCAGCTGAAGCAAGTCATTCAAATATAAATCGTGATGGAAAAGCTTTTTCTTTAGAAAATGCAATTATCAAGTATATAATTAAATTTATTTTCGATTAATTTTATTTTATAATTTTATTTTAT